TGAGCCGAAACCAAAGTTTATTTAGCGGTGCTCAGTTGGTGTGCCTTCCACCCCTTCTCTCTCAAAACAAACGTTTACGTTGCGCATAAATCGAACTGTTTCGTAAGTGAAGGAAACTTCAAATTGTTTATTTGTTCCTGCGCTTCCTTTGTTGTAACTGTTGCTTAAATGGTAGTAAAAATGTCACTACTGAGGTAAAAAAGACTAGTCAAAAAGATATATATGGCAGATTTATGCTGAACTTCTGTGGAGCGGTTCCCTTATAAATAATGTTCCTGTCCATCTCCTACATACATCCTTTCCGCACCCCCTTTTTCAACACCACAAGTTACGAAACTATACAGAACTGAACAACAGCAGCCGTAGAAAATATGGTTTTTAAGTGAAACTTTCAGGTGTCTATATTTTGATTCACTGCAAAGCAATATGATGGAAAAAGAAAAAAATTACACCAACCTCAGGAAGTGGTCGCTTGGCAAATTTATCGCCATCAACAATTAAAAAGTTCTTCAGCGGAAAATACTTTAGCCATCTTTTCATATGCATAGAATACAGAGAGTTTCGAATTGGTTTATAGTCGATGTTTATTGTGACTCCATCACTCAAAAATGATACTTTCTCAAAGACAATTTGCGATTTATTCTGTTCCAATCTTGTGCACATCACCTGAATAAATATTGAATGTATCAACATTTGTTGATTTTTTTTTGTCCTCCTTCAATTCATCACAAATTCTTCATAAATTTTCGATTAATCCAAAAGTTTAACGAATATGCCAAGCTCTTTCTCCATAATTTCCGAATCATTACGACGCTGATCAACGCCACTCCGGCAATCTCATTTGTATTTTTTAAACAGTCAAGAAAAATAGATGAAGAAAAAAAGCAAAAAAACTTTTTTTAAAATAGCTTTTATTAAATGAACGCCAAATTGTCTACTCGCTCCATCTACAATACTTTGACTAAGAAAAGTGAATAAACAAATCATTCAAACATCATTTGCCTCTCAGAAGTCATTATACAGACGTATTTTACGTCGTTCAAATTGAATCACAAATTATAAATAATTCAATGTCGATCAAAGCAGGAAAAAAGAATATGACAAAAAAATTTATTTGGACAATTTTTTATACGACTAAAATATGAATTCCTTTTGTTTAAGGGCAATTCTGTTGGCTAAAAATAGCAAAAAAAAAAGACACTTTCTCCTCAAATTCTAAAAAATTTTTTACAGGAAATTTGTAAAAACTGGCTGTGCCTACATAAAGAAAATTAAAATGTGCCTTTTTCACAGTTCTATCAACCAGTATCATTAATTCTGCAATATTCCTCTTCTATTTTTCCTTCTTCCACCCCTCAATTAACAACTTAGGAAACTACAAAGCATAGACTTTTCTTAATTTTTTTTTGTATTTCACTCACTGTTAGTTCGTCTCAGAGGTTTTACCACTTTAAAACCGGAAAAGATTACGCAGTTTTTAGAAGGAGACAAAGAGAAATAAGCCGTTTTTTTCACGCTTCCCCATCTGACATTTCTTTTGTCATGAATGTAAATTTACAAATCTAACTTTTGCAACTTCTGAACATAGCGAACATACGTTTTTTGCCTTCAACTGTGCATTTTTACAATTTTTTTGGCAGTTGGCCGATTTTTTTTTGCCACCAATAATGTGTGCTAATTTTTTCTGAGTACAGGAAGTGAACGGAAAGAATGGGGACAAGAAGCAAAGAAGACGGACAACCTTAAAAGTGCCTCAGAGAACTGTTAGTACAAATTTTTCCTCACAAAGACGGTATCACTGTGGAACAGACGGCAAAATACGACACAAAATTTGAAGATCGTTTTACTTGCCTTCAAAAATGGTTTTTCCAGCCTAAAGCAGTTGCAACCAATTGATTTTTAAACGAAAAGAAGAGCAGAAAATAAAGGAAGAGGAAGTAAAAATAAGAAGGTTTACTGCATTGATAGTTTTCCAGCAAAGATCTATTTTCAAAAGTGATACTTGTTCAAGTTGAGAATTTTGCGCTCTTCATTGAATAGTCTGCATATTTTCAAACTTTTTTGCCTCTATTATTCCTACAATTTCTAAAATAAGTCTGTAGTGTAGCCAATTTCAAAAATAGTACAACAGATCTTCAACGGGAAGAACATTTTGAATTAGTCAGACATTTAAGTGGCAAAAATTTAAGAATTATTGTTTAAACGGCAATCAAAACAGAGGAGAAGTTGTTGTTCTTCTTGTTGCTTTTAAGTGAGGGATTGCACTCAGATCAGTTCAATTTTCCTCTGTTTTTTCGTGTTTGACATGAAAGAAAGAACAGTGAGTGAAAAACAGCAATTAAAAGCAGATGAACACTATCTGGCAAAAGCATTAGGCTGCAGAAGGTCGTGTTTATATTATCTGAAAAAAAATCACAGCATCGACGGCTATTATATAAAAATCAGCTTTATTTGTTGCTTTAATTTTCCTTCACTAAACTATTTCTTAAAATGATCAAAATGTAAAATTGTTATAATTCAAATAAATTTTTTTAAGCTTTAATCTTTTTCTTTTCTTAACTACAAAAAAAATTTTTTATTGCGTATTTTAGTTCAGATTTCTTTCTTCTTATTGTAATTATCAATACCGCTGTTATGCCATCAATTCTAATGGTCACAGTCCATAAGCATTCTAAATTTACTATTAAACTTTTTTATTGTCAATTTATGTAACCAAAAGAAAAAAAAAGAAAGATTCGAATAATCGAATTTTGTATAAATGCTATCAGCTTACCACTTATATTATTTTTTTAATGAAAAGAAAAAACTGAGTAATAATATTGATAATAATAACTCTGACAATATTCTACATCGAAAATATACATTATATAAATTTTTCTTTATTTACAGGTTTTAGTAGTTCATTAAAATAATATACCATAAAAGAATAAACAAATGAAATTTCTTAAATGTCTACCTGTGTATAATCGCTGATGGTACGTTGAACGGGATCTCGAATAATCAAAATAAACTTTAGATTTGGATTCATGCTGTAGACCCGTTGTGGTGTCAGTTCACTGGAAAAATAAGCCGGTGTTTTTTCTACTGCTATCTAAAACACTGCATTTAGTAAAGTAATAGACTTTTTTATTTTTCAAAAATAAATGGTGACTTATAATTGAAAAACAAATATTTAAATAATCAATACATCCCATAACAGACCTGAGATGGAGTAATAAATGGCATCTGTGATCTGTACCACTCCAGCCCTTTTCCATAGGTTTCAGTGTTGTCAAAAAAATGTACCTCATGTCGTACAATTTTAATTTGTGGATGCAATGCTATAGCATCTAATAATGCTCTTGTTCCACCTTTACGTACACCAATAATAATGCAGTGTGGTAATTTTTGAAATTTTGTACTTGACTGTGATATCAGCTTATTTTTGCTAAAAAAAGAGGTTAAGAGTTTGAAAAAAAGAAAAAAAAAAAAA